ATGCTTTCCTGAAGAACTGAGTTTCCAGTGATTTTTTTTTTTTTTATAGGAGTGGAGACTGGGTGAAAGTCTAACAGAGAAGGGAGTTCCATAGGAACGGTGCAGCCCTAGAGAAGTCTTGAAGTATGGTTTTATCAAACTTTATTTGACAATATATCTCACCTCAGGGATTATCACATTGGCTGAGAGTGATTAGCATGATACTCTGAGCAGTGGTGTATCCTGGTTTTGTGCTGCCCTAGGCCTCGCGGCTAAAACGTCCCTGACTCTGAGACAATCAGCTCTGTACTGCAGGGCGTATCTCAGGAGAACTCATTAAAGCTCCTAAGAAGGAGCTTCTGCCTCTCACTGAATAGTGATGGAGGCAGGGAGTTGAACCCTGTGATTCCATGTAAGTAATCAATCTGTTGGTTGGTGGTTGTAGTGTTCCAGGGGTGCATGTATGTTCCATAATTTATATTTTTATAATCTTCCAAATAAAGAAAGCACTATAAAAGTTATGCAAGAAAAAGCATTCCTCATTTTTACAGAATTTCATTTGCGGGGATTACTTGATGACAATGAGGTTATCTCAGATATACTCTTCCATGTATCACTTGACAATTATGATTTTTAAACCAGCAAGCAAACACTTTTAAACAAATATACAAACCAAATGAACAAATGAAAAGTTTGCGATAAACTATTATAAACTTACTATGAACTTGGTCAGATTGCATTATGGGCAGGCCTTTCAGCTAGGGGAGTTACTTCAGTGTTCCTCCCCTTCCTTCTGTCAGGATTACAGTTGATCCAGCACGCAGAATAGTATCACACCTAGGACTAAGGGTAACGTCTAACCGGACCTTGGAATGGCAGAGTTAACATTCCCGAGAATAGTGAATATACTAGCCGAGGTCAGGGACACAGAACGAGACACTGCGATAAGGAAAAGCCAGTAGTCAAAGATACCAGAAATCAGGGAAGTCAAAACAAAGCCAAAGTAAAAAACCAGAAACACACGATCAGTAACACACTCTCGGATATCCATCTAAGGGAATCCATGAGAGGGCAATGAGAAAAAGTAAAAATTAGTTTGAATAAACCTCCTGCAGATCCGATTGGCCGTAACAGGCCTTTGACCCCAAAACGTGTGTGAGCGTCTTTTGCGTGCCATCACATGCACGTTGACGTCATCATTACCATGGGCAGACGTGGGGCTATAATATGGCGTGGATCCACGATGGTCGGCGTCCACCGACATGCTGCAAAAGTCAGGTATACTGGCGCGGGGCTGCTGAGCAGCACTTCCATTATTGCCAGGAAGGCAATTTCTACTGCAGATAATATAAGATGAGAATGAATGTGACATTATCCCCTACCTGAAGACTGCTCACCGGGCGGGCAGAACCAGGTTTGAGAGGAAACTTGGAAAAGAACGAATCTTGCGGTCAGCATGTATTTTAGCAGCCAGAACCCAAGAACGATCAGCAGGCCCATACCCCCTCCAATCAACTAAATACTGTAAGGAACCACGAGAAAACCGGAATCAATTATGGAGGAGACTTCGTACTCCTCCTGTCCAGAAACGACCAAAGGAGGAGGTGAACACTTGGGACAGTATACCTATTGCAAATAAGTGGTTTGAGTAAGGAGACATCAGTCTCGAAAGCGGAGTAAACTTTGGTCCAATTCTCACGAACAGAAGTTACATGCACGTTGACGTCGTCATTACCATGGGCGGACGTGGGGCTATAATATGGCGTGAAACTGCAGAGGGCCGGCGTCCACTGACATGCTGCAGAAGTCAGGTATACTGGCGCAGGGCTGCTGAGCGGCACTTCCATTATTGCCAGGAAGGCTATTTCTACTGCAGATAAGGTGAGAATTAATATGTGGCACCTTCTTACGCATATTTCACAGGTTCAGACCAGTCCACTAATGACAGAAAGAGTGCATCATTGTGCAGCAGAAGGAGAGAGAAACCTGTCACCAGAGCCTTCTCTGCATGAATCACTGATCCGACTCCCTGTCCTACCCCACCAGCCCCCCCTCCCCTGTCAGAATGTTGCAAGGTGGAGAGATATTCCAACTGCACATGTGTAAATGTGTTAGACATGTCCAATGCATTTTTCAGCATTCCTGGGGATAGGACACTGATTGGTGAGATCACTGCCCCCCTGGAGTGGGCAGGGAAACCAGAAGAAAGAAAGAAGTAGGTAAATAGGAAAAAAGCTTTTAAACAAAGGCAGTATCAAAGTGATGCATGTTCCTTTAAGATTTTGATGTCTGTACAATAATATTGTTCTCAGATTAATAATAGTGATATTAGGAGAATGCTGGCAATCCTACACATTACCAGACAGATCTGTCAGATGTGCTAACTGGTGATATGGAAGTGACATGACTTGTCAGTGGGGAACAGAGAGAATGCCAAAATAAGTGACAACTCACTTCAAAACTTGTATCTTGACTACACGCTGTCATCATAGCAAGATAGCAGGAGAGCAAGACAACAGCTGTCATATTCCGTCATGGAGAACAGTTTAATAAAAGAATTATGAAATTAAGCAATTGACTGAGCCTTAGTTAATAATAAAAATAATAATAATATAAATAAAGAAAATAACATTCTCCAGTGTACAAAAAGATCTCTGTTATACGATTATTTTAAATGCCTAACACTTGAGACTTGAAATGGACAAAGTATAGACCCACAGTTGCTTTAGTGATGTGTTCCCAGTAAGCACAGAAAGTGTGGACTTGTTGCAGTTAGTGATAGTTGGCTTTTTCACTTGACATTATTTAAAGGGAAACAATAGTGCCAGGAAAACAAACTTGTTTTCCTGGCACTATAGCTCCTTGTAGTGCCATCCATCCCCCTCCCACTCCCCCTTCTGTCACTTACCTGGGTCCAGCGTCGATGATTCTCAGTGCTGGTTTGAGTCCGCTTCCTCTCCTTCCCCACCAGCATCAGCTGGTGACGGGGACCTTATGCCCATCGCTGCAATGGCCACACTCGCATTAGGATTTCCCAATAGGAAAGCATTATACAATGCTCTTCTATGGGAATTCCATTGACGCTGGATGTCCTCATGCATAGCGTGAGGACGTTCAGTATCAGTTAGGTGACCAAAAGTCGCCTAAAAGCCCGTAAGTAGACAGACACTAGAGGAGGAGTTAACCCACAAAGCTAATTATTGCAGTTTATAAAAATAAAAACTGGGGCAGTACACCTAGACCACTTTAATGAGCTGAAGTGGTCTGGTTGCCTATAGTGTCCCTATAAGTTGTATGTTGTAATGTCGGACTAACGCAATCTCTAAGAAATATACTCAAGTGTCAGACACGTATGAAAATTGAAGTCCAACAGGGGATGGTCAAAGCTGATATCAACTGTATGCAGTATGGTTAATACATCTATTTAAAAAAAAAAAAAAGACTAAATAATTTTGTGTATGATGTACTAAAATAAACACACACACAAACAAGTAAGGTCCCTCGTGTGCAGGATTTCCCTGTAATTAGAGCTATCAGTACAGATTTTTCACAGAAAAATATTACAGTGTAGCGTGTTCAACGTATAGGGCACCACAAATAAAGAAATACATTTATTATTATTCACTTAAAGGGCCACTATAGGCACCCAGACCACTTCAGCTTAATGAAGTGGTCTGGGTGCCAGGTCCCTCTAGTTTTGACCCTGCAGCTGAAAACATAGCAGTTTCAGAGAAACTGCTATGTTTACATTGAGGGTTAATCCAGCCTCTAGTGGCTGTCTCACTGACAGCCGCTAGAGGCGCTTCCGCGATTCTCACTGTGAAAATCACAGTGAGAAGACGCTGGACGCCCATAGGAAAGCATTGAGTTCCTATGGGCGGTTTGAATGCGCATTCGGCGCTGACGTCGGCAGGAGGAGGAGAGTTCCCCAGCGGAGCCCGGCGCTGGAGAAAGGTGAGTAGCTGAAGGGTTTTTAACCTCTTCAACCCAGCGGGAGGCGGGCCACGAGGGTGGGGACCTAATAACCCTATAGTGCCAGGAAAATGAGTTTGTATTTCTGGCACTATAGTGGTCCTTTAAGCGCAAAGCTGTCAAAATTATTATTTGCATATGAGATGTGTCATGTACTGATTAAATGGGTAGATTTTAATCCGTACATGACTTCACATAAATAACAATGTCATATAACACAAATGCATATCTATTAACATTTAATGGGATCTACTTGGGTTTTGCTATAGCATTTGATACAGTTCCACACAAAAGGTTACTAAAAACAGAATATTCAAGGATATAATTGATATGTATGTAAACAAGTTGTTCATCCAAGGAGAAATCTGATTGCCATTATGGAGTTAAGAAGAATCTTTTTCCCTTTTTGTGACATCATTGGAAATCACTACACTTTTGCCTTCTTTTTGGATCAACAGCATAAAGGAATACATTCTAAAGGTTAAACTTGATGGACTTCAGTCTGCTAAGTAGCATGGGACAAATTGTTAGCAAATGAATGCCTGTGCAAATTTATATTCATGGATAAATGCACAATATTTAAAACTGTATATCTGATATCATTCAGAAATTTACACGTAAGTAAGTCATAAGCAGATTATATACCATCATAGGTGTGCGCACAGGGTGTGCCGGGTGTGCCTGGGCACACCCTAATCCCCGCGGCACGCCTATGTATGAAGACCGGCAGGGGAGATCTCAGGATCCCCCTGTTGGCTCATGCAGAGCCGGCGCTATCTGAGCGCCGGCTCTGCTCTCAGCCTCCCTCCCCACCGACCCACAGGCAGGGAGGGAGGCAGGAGAGGACCCGGGGAGCTCTTGCCAGCAGCTGCGCCGGGTTCCTCTCGCGAGATCTGAGCGTTGCCGCGGTTATTGCGGCAACACTCAGATCTCGCTAGAGTGAACTCTAGCCCCACAGGCTAGAGTTCACTCTCACCACTAGGACCACCAGGGAAGGCAGAAAGGATCCCCCTCAAGCGCACACACACAAACACCCACATAGCACACTACCAGCACCCTCACACAGCACACACACACACAGCAGTGTATATATATTTATATATATATATATACATATATATATACACATATACATATACATACATATACGCGGCGTGTGCTTGTGCTTTAGGGTGCACACCCTAATGCAATAGGCTGCGCACGCCTATGTATACCATGATCATGTGATGCGTCACAAAGCCCAAGGTGTGTTACAGATGGAATACAGCACTTTAAGTCATGATACAAACGGAATCTTGACATCATTAGCTGGGGTAACTGGGAAGAAGGTCTTTGTTAAGACCCAAAGCATTAATTACTACAAAAATGAAGCTTCAAGCACTCATATGTATCTAATATCCTGATCCACACTGGCCCACAAGAGATGGAGAGGGAAGGACACAACTAGAAAAACACAGTGCTCAGTAATTATAGCACTTAAACCATAACTCTCCAATGCAAAGTATATACATTGTGTTTCCTCTGTGATTGTGTGTACACAACTTGAAATATAAAAACAATAGAAAGTATGAAAATGGATTCATGTTGACTTGCTGCCTCTTGAATGACATCATATCCTAGAAAGGTTTGAACTACCATACCATATATAAATAATGACCATGACAACCAGTAATAGCATCTTGTTGATTGTAATGCGTTATTTTATTCTTTGAAATTCTAAGTGTTCTTATTATGAATGGAAACGTGACTGCATTTACGGAAATGCTTCCACTAATGCTCTGCATTCTCTTCTGTGTGCCTCCCACTGAAATTACATCCTTCTCTATTGGCTTTCGGACCTTCTCCCAGTTACTGGCAAACGTGTATCTAAGATTGTATGCCATGGTGGTTATATAGTGTCCTTCATGTTTCTCAGGATGTACTTGAGGTCAACGTCTCAGATTGGCTCTTGAAGTCCATCAACCGTCTAATACGCCGGTTTTGTTTTCTTGTTAACATCACAATATCAGTCTATTAGCTCGACAGTACAAGATTAACAATGAAATTAGGCAGGTTTTAAAACAATAACATTTTCTGATTATGATGGCATTATTGGCAATTAACAATTTGTAATCGATTTTCTAATTGTTGATGTGTAAGCAGTGGAACAGTAAAGGGTGGCAGAAAGTCCAAACACAACTAACTTCATGGACTTTTTTTGGCTTTTCTCACAAATTTTGCATATGTATTTATGTTGTGTTTTGTCTATGCAATAACTGTGTATAAGATTTTAAGAGAAAAACATACACATTCTGCCGCTTCCCCAACACAGACTATTAAATAAACAATTTCAAAATAAGGCACACTCTACTCTTTTTCAACAGTGGATTCCAGGAGGGTTCAATAATTGAAATCTTCTTAAAGGGACACTATAGTCACCATAACCAATTCATCTCAATAAAATGGTCTGTCTACCATGTCCATCTAAATGAAGTGGTCTGTCTACCATGTCCCTCTAAATTAAGTTGTCTGCCGGCCGTGTCCCTGACTGCTTATCCCTGCAACTGAAACTTTGCTGTTCTATAGGAATGGTAATGCTTACATTGAAGGGTTAGAATGCGTATATTGGCTGCCTTCCTTCCGTCCAAATACCAGAGTTTAAAATGGCAATTTAATCAGATGTTCTCAGAGATACCATCTGATGTGTGCAGTGTGGTGTTTTGCCACTCATGCGCATATGCCTCCCCATGTTGCACTATGGGGAAACATTGGATTGGCTGAGATCACCTGTACTGATGATCTCAGCTAAAGAGGCGGAATGCAGTTTTGGAGTC